AGATATACCTGATAACAGCCAGTAGAAGACTACACAAAAAATAATCTTGACTTATCGCATAGTAATAAATTATTAATCAAAAATGTATTTCTGATTTTTCTTTTTACATATTTTGTTAAAGGGGCAAATAAGGACTTCAAACCAAAAAAAAAGTAATTTTCTGTTTTGTTTTATTGTTGGATCGGGCTTTAAAGGGTTAACATGTTCCATTTGTCCTTCCTGCCTTTAGATATTAATAAAAAAGAATAAAATAAACTGAGACTTTTTCTGTCTCCTTGTTAAATAGCAGAGCTAATTCTGTCTTTGCTTCCAGAGTGATGACGATTGATTTCTACTTTAGATCATCAATGAAATGGAAAATAAGAGCAAATATGGGGAATGTTGGAGCCAAATGTTTGATTTATGACTGAATATTTATTTCTAGTTGCCTATTTTTGTCTGGTTTTGGTACGATATTTATGAACATGAAATATTTTGGTTTGAAGTATAAGTTGACTGACTTAATTATGAAATTATGAATTTGTTGAATTTATGAATAATTTAAGCTGTTTCTAGCCTCCGCCCCTTCATTACCGCGCGTTTCCAGCCAGAACGCGCGGTGACGTAAAAAACGCACGCGTTATTGTACGGACGATTATTGGCCCGATCGGCTTGCCATATCCGAAAGGGGGGTGCGCGCGCCCCCGCCTGAATCCGTGCCTGGGTGACATCATGAAAAGGGGAGGGGCAGATCTGATACTTACGTCAGGATTGTAGCTGACATAGGTCATTATTCTGCGGCAAGAAACCCAACAACAATGGCGGACGATGAAGCAGATGTTCTCCAGCGCTACCATCCATGTTTACTTCCTTAAACACAGAGCACGCTGGCCTGTGATGTCACTATGGCGTCCTCTACTGCGCATGTGGGACACTAAAGCTGTATGACTGCAGGAGATCACAGACATGTTGCCATGTTTGGACGTCAGAATAGAGCACTAAGGCCGTGAACGTAGCGTCAGTTCAAAGGGAATAAATCATTTCTTCCTGTGGGGATTTTCAGAATAAAGCTGCTAGAGACGAGATAAACGACAAGAATAAAACCCAGATCTAGACCAACTAGAGAACATCCAGACACCCTGATACTGGAGCAGAGTTCTTCTTCACCTGTTTCTAACTTTATCACCTATTTCTTCTTTTAGGTAGAATCTATGAATAGATTTTCTAACTTTTTATCCTGTTTCTTTGTTCTTGTTGGTTCCCAGTAAAGGTTTAATCCCAGTAGAACAGAACCGACCCAAACACTGACCTGTGGCCCAGAGGAGTCCGGCTCGGTCCAGGTGGAGCTGTGGAGGTTCTGTTCTTCCATTTTTATTCTCTTGGCCTTCCTCTCCATTCCCGCCTCGCCGCCGTCCTCCTGCTCCATTCCCGCCTCGCCGCCGTCCTCCTGCTCCA